CAGTTTGAGTCCTGGATCTGGCGGCTTGCTTTCTCACTTCCCCTTTCTCTTTCTCTCTCTCTCTCTCTCGTGTGCACATGCATCCATGTGTGCACATGCCTATTGCAAATTAAATAATAATAAAAATAAATAAAATTAAATAAATCATTCTTTAAAAAAAAAAAAGAAAATGAAGTAGATTCAATGGAGCTGCATAGGCTGGGATGCGATGGTGGAGCCCAACTGCTCATCCTTGGGCCACCTCTTTGTAACTCTGCTCCTGGAGTGACTCTCAAGAACCATTTGAAGCCTACTAGACTAACCCAGCTCTTCATTCTAAAATGAGAAACAAAGGCTCAGAAAAGGAAAACAGCTCCGCCAAGGTCACACAGCCTATAGGTGGCAGAACCAGGACTAGAACTCAGGTTTTCCAGTGTTTGGGCTGATGCCACCCAACAGAGATTTTTTTTTTAAGAGATTTTTGGTATAGGGCGTGTGCACTCTCCAGAGAAACAGAGAGAGACAAAGACACAGAGAGCAAGAAATCACCCCCCAGGAGCGATGACCACGCTGCAATCCATTCTCCTACATTCGCCCCACAGATTTTTTTTTTTTGAGAGAGATTTTCGCTATAGGGCACGTGCGCTTGCCAGCCAGACAGAGAGAGACAGAGAGACAGAAAGCGAGAAATCACCTCCCAGGGGGGATGGTCACACCTCAATCCCTTCTCCTCCATTCTCCTCTCGAGATCTTAGGCAGGCACGCACGCACACGCGCCCGGCGTGAGTTTTAAGCCACCGGGTCCGGGAAGCGAACCGCAGTCGACTACGTGGGAGTCCAGTGACATAGCCATTACGTTAACTGCTGGTTCCCTGCCCCACAGAATTTTGGGTGCACACACACACGCACCCAGCGTGAGTTTTGTTTTGTTTTGTTTTTTAAGAGGCTTTTTGCTATAGGACATGTGCGCCCACCAGAAAGAGAGACAGAAAGCGAGAAATCACACCCCAGGGGGGATGGGCACATCGCAACCCCTTCTCCTACATACATTCTCCTCTCGAGATCTTGGGCACATACGCACATACACCCGGCATGAGTTTTAAGTCGCTGGGTCCAGGACTCGAACCAGGGTTGACTACATGGGAGTCCAGCAACATAACCATTATGCCATCTGCTGGTCCCAAGATTTTTGACGTCTCTCTCTCTCTCATCTCATCCCTTTCAACAGTATGTGCAAGCCAGGTGCCCCAGGGCCAACCTGCCCCCTCTCTATGCTCTCGAGCTACTAACCATCTACGCCTGGGAAATGGGGACCCAGGAGAGTGAGCAGTTCAGGCTGGACGAAGGCCTCGCCACGGTGATGGAATTGCTCCAAGACTATGAACTCCTCTGCATCTACTGGACCAAGCACTACACCTTCCAACATCCAGTTGTCGGGGACTTTGTCAGGAAACAGCTCAAGAAAAAGAGGTACTGGGCCACTGCTTGCTGAGGAAGTCATAGGAAAAGAAGAGAATCGGGGGCAAAGTGGTATCGAGTTTCTGGGTTGGCTGTCACAGGAGATGAGCACCGACATCCCATACGGATCAGCATCTCCGGCCAACAGCCTGCCACAGTCTCCGAGGGCTGTAGGGGGCGACAAGCCTTTTCCTGTACACCCAGCCCCAGCTCTCAGCGCTCAGACTCCCTCTCAGGGCTTCCAGAGTCAGCATGGGGAAATGGAAAGAATACTGGGGACCCGAGTGTAAGTAAAATCTCAGTTCTGCCATTTCTCGCTGCTGTGAGCCCTGGTTCCTCATCCCTAAAACAGGAGGAAACGGGGACCAGCAGAGGGCATAATGGTTACATCGCTGGACTCCCATTTAGTCAACCATGGTTCAAGTCCCGGGCCCAGTGGTTTAAAACTCATGCTCGGTGCGTGTGCATGCATGCCAAAATCCTGAGAGGAAAATGGAGAAGGGATTGTGGTGTGGCCATCCCCCCCAGGAGGGTGATTTCTCACTTTCTGTCTCTGTCTCTCCAGCGAGTGCACGTGCCCTATAGCAAAAATCTCTTTTAAAAAGGGGTGGCGGGGCTGGGGGGAAGCCAGTAAGTAGTGTGGGGTTAAAGGCGCTTGACTCCCACATGGTCAACCATGGTTCAAATCCCGGACCTGGTGGCTTCCTTTCTCGCTTGTGCTCTCTCTCTCTCTCTGGTCAAATTGGAAAATAACAATAAATAAAGTTAAAATCAAATAATTTTTTTAAAAAAATACTTTATAAAAACAGGAGGAAACGGGCACCTTTCAACACAGATCTGTCAAAAGAATCAGAGAAAAATCTGTCCTGAGGGTGTATAGTAAGAAGCCTGTGGTAGCTGTCCCGTGAAGGGTCACATTGTACTGCAGGCCTCTGGGCCCCGCTCATATCCCCTTGGCCTTCGCTGTTTGGGCGAAGGCTGGCTCGACTTCCAATTATGGACTCTAGTGGCCCTCTGGCTGAGGGTTTTCCTCTCCCCTCAGACCTACTCTGAAAACAACCCTCAACCAAAGACTCTGGGAGTTGGTGGATAAATACCCCAACTCCCTCACACCTCAGATGGCAGAAGTCAGGGTCCCATGTTCCACACTATTTCCCAGAGTTCTCCAGGGCCACGAATCTCCAGTTGCTGTCAGAGGTAATTCCTTGACTCTCACTCTTTCTTTTCCTTTTTTTTTTTTTTTTGAGGGGTTTTTGCTATAGGGCGCATGCGCTCACCAGACAGAGAGAGACAGAGAGACAGAAAGCGAGAAATCACCCCCCAGGGGGGATGGCCACGCCGCAATCCCTTCTCCTCCGTTCTTCTCTCAGGATCTTGGGCACGCACGCACACGCGCCCGGCATGAATTTAAGCCACCAAGTCCAGGACTCGAACTGTAGTCCATTTCATGGGAGTCCACGACATAGCCATTATGCCAACTGCTGGTCCCTCCAAACCAATATTCTTTAAAACATTTATCCAACGTTTATGTAGAGAAGAGACACCAGGAGACAGCCCAATCTCTCCTCTGTTGAGGCAGCGGAGGGGTAACAACCCCGTCTGCTGGCCGTGAAGATTTATAGAGGTCTGTGCCTCTCTTTCTTCATCTGTAAAATGGGAACAACAATAAGAATAATAATAGTCTCTACCTTGTGGAATTGTTTTACTGGTTAAACGAGGTTAATTCACATAGGATTTGGCCTGGTGTCAGTGTTTGGTGCTAGTGGTGTTATCATCCAAAGCGATTCAGCAGCGCTCACCTCAAACTTTGGGTTTGTACAGGCTGGGGCTAGCTTATGGTTGGCAGTTAAGGGAGCTCGATCCCACATGGCAGGCCACATAGCGCAAATCCCAGCCCAACAGCTTAGAAAACATTCCAGACACATGTGCATACATGCTCAAAATCCCTAAAGGAGAGAGAAATAGAGGAGAGGAATTGCAGCACGGCATGCCCCATGGGGCAAGGGGTGCTTTCTCCCTCTCCCTCTTTCTCAGTCTCTCAGTCTCTCTCTGGTAAGTGCATGTGCCCTCTGGCTTATTACAAAATGTTTTTGCGTAGTCTGCTCTGAATGTATAAGGCCCACTCAACTGAGCCGGCATCTGCGATAGCTCCAGGATGCCTCTTGAAGCCTCACCATCCCTACTCCCAAAATTCATGGCAAACACCTGGAGAACGTGCCCCAAGAGGAATTCTTGAATGGCATAGTGGTTATGTTGCTGGACTCCCACATGGCCAACCACAGTTCCAGTCCCAGAGCCGGTGACTTGAAATTCACATTGGGCATGTGTACGAACATGCCCAAGATCCCAGGAGGAGAATGGAGAAGGAATTGTGACATGGACATCCCCTCTGGGGGGGGTGTGATTTCTCCCTCTCCCTCTCACTGTCTCTGTCTCTTTCTCTCCAGTGAGCACACATGCTCTATGGTAAAAAACCTCTATACATATATATTAAAAAATCTATTCATCTCCATCCTGTTACCCTCCAGCAATGTTCTGAGACCCTCTTGCCCACAACCTGGGCTCTGGACATAACAACTGCTCAGCGTTTTGAATGGATGGCTGAGAAGGCTCCTTTCTGGCTGGCAGGCCTCCAAACCAGGAGGAGCCTGGGCACCCTCTCCCTGTGTTGCAGGCCCATCATCCTGGATCCAGCTGACCCCACCTACAACGTAGCAGAAGGAGGCAGATGGGACATAGTCGCTCAAAGGGCCTGCCAGTGCCTGAAACAGGACTGTTGCTATGACAGCGGCGAGAACGCAGTCCCCAGCTGGAATGTGCAGGTAACCGTCCTCTCTGGGCTGTCAGGGGCTTGAAGCTCAGAATGAGATAACTGCGTGGTATGTGTTTACTCATTTCTGTGCCCACGGAGAATAGGACTTTAGAGTCAGACCGTTTGAGGCCCAGCCTCACCCCCTCCTGTTCTGTGAACTTGGGAACATTCCGTACAATGGAGCCAAGCGTAGAAACAACCTCACAGGGCTGCGTTGAGAGTATGGAAGGTGGGGCCTACCTGGCCTGGTGGTTAAGGAAGCCTGACCCCACATGATCAACCATGTAGTTCAAGTCCCAGCCCTGGCAGCTTGGAAAATAATTCCAGGTACATGTGTGTGCATTTCCCAAATCCTGACACAATAAAGAAATGGAGGAGGAGAAGGGATTGCAGCATGACCACGTCCCATGGGGCGAGGCACTTTCTCCCTCTCCTTCTCTCTTTCTGGCAAGCCCATCAACCTCTAGCAATTTTTTTTAAAAAAAGGAACAAAAAAGAAAGAGTATGGAAGGCGGCCAGCACAGAGCCTGGGATGTAGTTGGCGCTCCTAAATATTCACTGCTGCTGCCTTTGTTGCTTCTGTTAGAAAGATGAGGTCAGGAGGACAAGTGAAGGAACCTTTGCACATCAGGCAGAACAGCATTGGCTTAACCCCTGTCCTTCCCTTCCAGAGAGCCCGAGACATCCAGGTGACAGTGGAGCAGTGCGGTTACTCAGATTTCACCATCAGGGCCAACCCTTACGAGTCCATAAAGAAGATGAAAGAGAAAATCCAGCAGAGCTGGGGCTTCTATGGCCTGCAGCGCCTGTCCTTCCAGGAGCCCGGTGGTGAGCGGCAACTCCTCAGCAGTCGCTGCACCTTGGCCCACTACGGGCTCTTCTCTGACACCCGCATCTACCTGCTGGAGACCATCTCCCCTGAGATCCAGGTCTTCATAAAGCACCCTGACGGTGAGAGCCACGCCTATGCTGTCCACCCCAAGAGCTTCATCCTAGCCCTGAAACAACAGATCGAGGACAAGCAGGGGCTGCCCGTGCAGCAGCAGGAGCTGGAGTACCGAGGCCAAGTACTGCAGGACTGGCTGGACTTGAGACACTACAGCATCCAAGATAGCAGCACCCTCACCCTGTCCGAGATCAAAGCAGGAAGGCCTCTGTTTCCATCCAGGTAGTGTCCCCTGAGAGCCCCTGGGTGCATCTCTGCCATCTAACCCACAATGCATCCCGCCAACCACTCCTTCCAGTTCTCTCCTGGAGAAACCCTGTGTCTTCACCAGATTTAAACCAAATTACCCTAGCCTTGCCCACAGGGGCATGAGGAGGACTGTGAGAGACTCAGAGGACAAAGGGACAATGGCCAGATCCTCTGTCGCAAGAGAATCCTGACCCACAACTTTCGCAACAATCAGGCTGGAAAAGCAAATTGCAACCCTGACAACGACCGACTCCAAACCATCAGGACTTGGTTAATAACCTGCCAGTTTTTCTAATTCCCCACCCCACCCCACCTTGCTTCCAATTTGGGGCCAACTAGAGAAAGACAAACACGCTTCCCGTACTTAATCCCGCTTCTAGCTAACCAGCGCCACCTTCCGACGCCAACGGCAATCAGGGCCCACTGAAGGCTTCCTGTTTTCCGCTATCAAGCTTTCCCATTCCCCTGCCTGCCTCTGAGCCTGTCAAAGGCAAGGGATGGGGGCTGGTTCCTCTGCTATAGAAAGTGAGAATAAATAGCCTTTGTTTGTTCTCATCTGGATGGTCGTTTCTTTCCATTGGTCGAAGGCTATCGCAGTGGTTACTGATTAATCATTTGAGCCTCTCAACTCTGGGAAATGGGGGCTGTAGGGAACTTGAGGATGACACTACATAAGTAAGCCCAGCCAGGGCTGCCCCACAGTCTATGGTTAAGGTGCTGGATCCCACATGGCCACCGCAATTTGAATCCCAGCCCCTGCAGCCCGAGAAACACACCTGCCACGTGTGCATGTGTATCCAGAGTCCTGACAGAATGGAGAAATGGAAGAGAAGGGATTGCAGAGTGACCGTGCCTCATTGGGGAGCGCTTTCTCTCCACCTCCTTTTTCTCTCTGGTGGGCACATGCACCCTCTGACAATTAAACAAAAGAACCCCCTTCTGAAACTCAACAAGCAATACAGAACAGTCCAGAGACTTCAAGAGACTCATAGCCTCTTTGTTATCAAAGGACACCATGTGATCAGGTTTACTCCAAACAACCACTAAAAAAGTATCCCTTTTAGCTCTGTTTTCTGGTGAATTACTCATACACTATAACATATGAAATGCACCTTGTACCTGGCTCGCAACAGACTCTGGGCAATTTAGCAGTAGTAATATACTTCCCACCTCTGCCTTCTGGGCAGAAAGCTACATTCCAAGGAGCAGACAGGCAAGTCCCACTCCTTTGTAATTTCGGCACAGCCAGCATTTTAGGTCCCTCTTGTGTGGGCTTCCCCTCCGTAGGTCTCATTTTCTTCGTCAAGGAAAGATCCGGAGGTGATCTCAGGCGTTTCTAGCTCTTTTGTGAGGACCGCCCACCTCCAGGCCAGTTCAAGGCCAGTGGCGGTTTGAGCCAGAACTACAATCCCCATAATGCCCTGCGCTTCTCTGCTCTTACGTGAGGTCGTGCGAGAGGGTTGGTCAACTAGACGTTTCCCACGATCCTTTGCGGTGACGCAAGATGGCGGCGCCCACGGAGACCGTGAGCGATTCGGAGAGCGGTGGCGACAGTAGCAGCGATGCAGAGGAGTTGGCGCGGTGCCGCGAGGCGGCGATGCCTGCTTGGGGCTTGGAGCAGCATCCGCAGAGACCAAGAGCCGGTAGGGGACTGAGTTTGGGGAAGGTGGCCAGAGGACATGGGGTCTTCCCCTGAAATCTGAGAGGAGGAGGTTGAGGAGGAGGGAATCGCTAGACTCGACTTAACTTCCCCTGAAGAACCCCCGGGATTGAATGGGGTAGATACAAAGCGCAGGGAAGTGCAAATGGAGAAAGTTGTTCCATTTTCCGGGTCGGGAAACTGAGGTATCTAAATGTCGCTTGACTGCATCCTTCGGCCCATCGTCGCCCCCCACGGGGAAGGCCGCCTCTGTCCGAGAGGACTGACGGCCCGCCCCTTGTATTCTCACACGCAGCTTTTCCCCACTTTTAACAGTTCCTGTCACCGTGAGGCTGCAAGCTCGTCCACTGCGCGCGCTAACTCTGACCATAACTCCCTGTACCCAGGGAGAACCGAAAACCCCTCAACATAGGGAGGGGTGCCTGATCACGGATAGAATCCAGCGATCTTTCAGTCTCGTAATAGAAAGAATACTGCATCGTCTAATTACATTTTTGCGTCTCTTTCCATCATATATCTGAGCGACAAGCCACAGAAGTTTGGGCAGTATGTACCTGTTACTTGGTCACAACAAAAGTCAGGTTTTCATATCTCTTAGGATCTTTGTAGATATATCAAAATTTCGTTTTATTCACAATGAAAAGGTCGTTATTACATTTATCTTTGCTTTTAAATTACAGTAATTTTTAGGTCCACCTCTAAATCTTATTTAATGCCTTAATAAAGTATATAAGTATAATGAACTTGGTTGTTTAGTATTATGATAACTAAATTTCAATATCATTGGTTTTCATTGTAATTCTATATGTTGCATTTATGTCTTTATTAAAGTATTGTTCTGAGGCCAGCGGATAGCATGGTGGTTGGGGCTCTGGATTCCCACATGGCTGACCACCACTGGCGTCCCAGACCTGGCAGCTTGAAAATCGCAACAAATAAATAGATAAATAAATAAATAAATGTTTTTCTGTTAAAAAGCATTGTTCTGAGAAGGGATCCCGGCTTCACACGGCTTCTAGAGGAAACATGGCTGAGCAAATTTAAGAACTTCATGTGTGTGTGTGTGTGTGTGTGTGTGTGTGTGTGTAAGTTTATTTTTCCATTTCTCCCCTGGGAGAGAGGTTCCCCCTAATAGGGTCTTCACTCTGTGATCCCCCTCCAGCCTCAGCTCACCCAGATCACAGGCACATGCAGGTGTGTATATAGTAGACAGTTGATAAATTGTGTGATTACATGACTTAGATTTCCCTGTTCAGCATGGTATGTAAGAGGGGACTTGAACCAGAGGACATGGTCCTCATCTCAGCAATGTTAGATATTTGACTCGGACCAAGTTATTTTACATCTCTTTAACTTTTCCTCTTCTGTAAGGTGGGGTTATGGTAACCCCTCTAATGGGTGCTTGGGAAGACTCATTGAGTTTTACATGTAGATTGTTTCATGTAGTGCCCGGCACACAGCAGATGTTGTTATTGTCATGGTTTCCTCTATAAACGCCTCAATTTTACTTTTCCTCAGGTGCCACAAATAATCAGTTGCCAACCTCCCAACCAAGCCTCAGGTACTGTGCATTTGGGGTTCAAGTTTCATTTAGTTATTAATAAATACTGATCTCCTGTGTGTACAGGGTGCTGGGTTAGATCCTGGGTATATCTGAGCGAGCAAGACATGGGTGGTCCCTGCCTTCATGGGGGCAGCTTGTGTGCTGGTGGGAAACAAGGTCCTTTTGTGTGTTGTAGGCATAAGGTGGATGAGCACAAGCAAAATGGCAACGAGCTGCAGACCACCCCCGAATTCCGAGCCCACATAGCCAAGAAGCTGGGAGCCCTGCTGGACAAGTAAGCAAAAGCATGCCTTTTCTTCTGCCTTCCTTCATACAAACAGCAATAGCTGCCATTGCTGGGGCTCAGTGTCCAAGCAGACACCATGAAAGGCCCTTGTGATCAGTCACCTCACTGTGTTCAGAAACAACCCTCATGTAGGTCCTACTGTATCAAGACATAGGCTCTCAGCAAGATGTGTTGATTGATGTCACAGGGAGTAAGGAGTAGAGCGGAGCCCCAAACCCAAGTGTGTCTGGCCCTATGACCTGGTGCTTAAGGGAACCGGATCCCACATAGCCTATTACACAGTTGGAATCCTGGCCCCAACAGCGGGTTCAAGTTTCATTTAGTTATTAATAAATACTGATCTCCTGTGTGTACAGGGTGCTGGGTTAGATCCTGGGTATATCTGAGCGAGCAAGACATGGGTGGTCCCTGCCTTCATGGGGGCAGCTTGTGTGCTGGTGGGAAACAAGGTCCTTTTGTGTGTTGTAGGCATAAGGTGGATGAGCACAAGCAAAATGGCAACGAGCTGCAGACCACCCCCGAATTCCGAGCCCACATAGCCAAGAAGCTGGGAGCCCTGCTGGACAAGTAAGCAAAAGCATGCCTTTTCTTCTGCCTTCCTTCATACAAACAGCAATAGCTGCCATTGCTGGGGCTCAGTGTCCAAGCAGACACCATGAAAGGCCCTTGTGATCAGTCACCTCACTGTGTTCAGAAACAACCCTCATGTAGGTCCTACTGTATCAAGACATAGGCTCTCAGCAAGATGTGTTGATTGATGTCACAGGGAGTAAGGAGTAGAGCGGAGCCCCAAACCCAAGTGTGTCTGGCCCTATGACCTGGTGCTTAAGGGAACCGGATCCCACATAGCCTATTACACAGTTGGAATCCTGGCCCCAACAGCGTGCAAAAACACTGTAGTGTGTGTGTGTGTGTGTGTGTGTGTGTGTGCATGCCCAAGATCCCGCCAGGATAGAGAAATGGAGAAGGAGCAGTGGTATGACCACACCCCATCAGGGGGTGTTTTCTTCCTCTCCTCTCTCTGGTAAGCATATGCACCTTCTAGCCAAGGTGGGGGTGGGAGGCAAAAAACAGAATAAAAGAACCCTGGTATGGGTTTATAATATGTTATTTATGGGTTGAAATTTGGTTGTAACAGATTAAGAGGTTAAAAATTGGGGCCAGATGGTAGCACAACAGTAACTTAATGCTCTGCAAGGCTGACCCACGTGGGGAAAGTTCCGAGTTCACATCCAGAGACTTCAGTGAACATGGACACACGCGTTTCCATGAGCTGGACTAGTTAAGGCTGGGAGTAGATGACAGCTTGAAGACCCTGTTGGGTGTGTGTGTGTGTCTTTCTCCGTCTCCTCCTTCCTCCTGCTCCTTCTCCCTCTAACTTATGGGAAAAAAGAGACTTTAAAAAATGGATGGAAATTTAATCCAACTATGAGATTAAAAGGCAGAGCCTTGGGTCCAGCAGATGGTGTAGTGATTAAGGTGTTGGACTCTCATATAGCCAATCATGGTTCAAATCCCAGACCCAGCAGTTTGAAAATCATATGTGTGTGTGTACATGTCCAAAATCCAGGAGGAAACTGAAGAAGGGGTTGCAGCATGGCCATCCTCCCTGGGGGGTTAATTTCTCACTTTCCCTCTCAATGTCTCTCTCAGATGAGCATTTGTGTCCTATGGCTAAAACCTTTAAGGAGAGGGGAGCAGAGCCTTTGGGAGGTGATTACGGTTAGATAAGGTCATCAGGGTAGGGCCCCATGATTGAATTCTGATAGGTTTATAAGGATAGGGTGAGAGAGACATTACTCGCTTGTGGTATTCAGTTGTGAGCAAAAGAAAAGTGGACTAACACAAATCCCAAGAAGGCAGAGCTCATTCTTATCATAAGAGTGCAAGAAAGATAGAATTCAGATTTTTCATGTGCATTCCTTTTCTTTTCTAGAAGTACTTGGTTAATTTATAGGTTTCTGATTGTATTCTAATTCTAATTCTAATTCTGTTCTTATTCTATTCTAATTCTATTTTAATTTCTAATTCCAAAACGAATTCTATTCTAATGCTATTTTATTTCTATTCTGATTCTATTCTTATTCTAATTCTATTTTAATTCTAATTCTAAAACAACCCTAATTCTATTCTGTTCTAATACTATTCTGTACTGTTCTATTCCTATTCTAATTCTATTCAATTCTTATTCTAATTCTATTCTATTTTAATCTTATCCTATTCTACTTCGATTCTAATCTCATTCTATTTTTTTCTTAAAGATTTTTTGTTTTCTATAGGGTTTATCTGCTTGCCAGAGAGACAGAGAGAGACAGAAAGTGAGAAATCACCTCCCAAGGGGGATGGCCACACTGCATTCCCTTCTCCTCCACTCCTCTCGGGATTTTAGGCATGCACACACACATGTGCCAGTGTGAGTTTTAAGCCACCGTCAACTATATGGGAGTCAGGCGATGTGACCAATATGCCATCTGCTGGTCCCATAATCTAATTCTATTCTAATCTAATTCTATTCTATTCTAATTCTGTATTTCTGTTCTTAGACTATTCTATTCTAATTTTATATTTCTATTCTCTTACTATTCTAATTCTGTAATTCCATTCTTATTCTATTCTTATTCTATAATTCTGTTTTCTATCATTCAATTCTATTCCATTCCATTCCACTCTATTTCATTCCATTCTATTCTTTTCAGTTCTATTCTATTCCATTCTATTCTATCCTATTCTGTTCCATTCTATTCTAGTTCATTCTGTTTTATTCCATTCTAATCAATTCCATTCTGTTCCATTTCTTCTGTTCCTTTCTGTTCCATTCCATTCCATTCCATCCATTCCATTTCATTTCAATTCTATTCTATTCCATTTTCTTCCACTCCTTTCCATTCCAGTCCATTCTGTTCTACTTTATTCTATTCATTTCTATTCTAATTTATTTAATTCTGTTCTATTCAATTCTGTTCTCTCCTCTCCTCCTCTATTCTGTTAGCTCTATTCAATTCAATTCTATTTCATGCTATCCCATTTCATTCTAGTCAGTTCTATTTTCTATCCTACCCTATCCTATCTCCTATCTGATCCTATCTCCTATCCTATTGTTTATCTTATCCTATCCTATCCTATCCTATCCTATCCTATCCTAGGGAGGGAAAGTGAGAAAGCAAGCTGCCATGTCTGGAACTCTAACTGCAGTCGGCCATATGAGAGTCCAACACCTCAGCCACCACCCCACCTGCTGGCCCCATGTTGTGTGCTTTCTGTGTGCCAGGCACTATTTGAGTATCCTGTTTCCTGTCACAGATTGGAAATACAGTCTGTGAAGATTCTCATCAGCATGCCCAAAGTAGGTGCCAAGAACACTGTCTGTTCTAGTCCTTTGGGCCGCCGTAACAAAATGCCATGAACTGCAGAGACAGGAAATCATCTCTCATATTTCAGAGTCTAGGAAGTCCAGGATCCAGGCGCCAGCAGACTCAGCGTCTGTGAGGCCCTCTTCTTGGTTTGTAGATGATGCCTGCTGGCTTTTTTTTTTTTTTTTTTTAAGCATTATTCCAAGCTTCACAAGGCTGCTAGAAGAGACATGGCAGAGCAAATTTAAGAACTCCTGTGTGTGTGTGTGTGTGTGTGTGTGTGTGTGTGTGTGTGTTGAGAGAAAGAATTTTGCTATAGAGCTCAGCAGGAATATATCATTTTATATATGTGTTCTCAAATGGTGGAGGAGACAAGGGGACTCTCCAGCCTCATGTAAGCCCCAAATTCCTTCACAAGGGCTGTGCCCCGAAGGAGATAATGACCTTATTATTTAGCAAAGACCGCAGCCTCTAATACCATCACTTCACAAGTTAGTATTCCAATTGGCAAATGTTAGGGAGACACAGCTAGACCTGAGCACTAGAACCATGTGTGGCTCTAGGAAAAGGGGGGTCCAGCAACAAAGACGTTTGAGGAACACTGCAGTCTGCCTGCCTCCATGCACCCTTGGAGGCTGAGAGTCATGATAGAATATGCAGAGCTCTGAGTTCCTGTGGTGAAGAGACTTTGTTTCATGGAAGACCAGTCACCACATCTTGGGATATGCTGGTCTCGAGCCATCCTGATTGATAGAGCACCAGCTGGTTTTGAAGGGGAGATGCGAGTTCGGAGTCGATGTCCTTCCTCATGAAGTAGATAGCAAAAAGGACAGAGAAGCCCTCCCCACTTACAGACCCATTCTGTCCTTCTGAGACAGAATATTGGACCAGAGCCCAGCCGCCTACACTGGACTCCCACATGGCTAAGTGTGGTTTGAGTCCCAAATCTGGCGGCTTGCTTTCTCACTTTCCCTTTCTCTCTGTCTCTGGTCAAATTTTTAAAATAATAATAGTAAATAAAGCTAAGTAAAATAATTCCTTAAAAAGGAAACCTGGGGCAGCAGGTGGCATGATGGTTAAGGCGGCTAGATCCCACCTGGCTGACTGTGCTGACCTAGTGACTTGAAAGAATGGAGGAGAATAGATTGCAATGTGGTCCTCCCCCTGGCATTGCTTTCTCTCTCTATCTCTCTCTATATATACATGTATCTCTGTCTCTTTCTCTCCAGCAAGTACACACACCCTACAGCAAAATGTTTTCAAAAAGTTGTTTCTGTTCTTACTCAAAATCTCATCCTAAATCAGCTGTCTCCTCTCCCCATAGCTCCATTACCATCTCGGAAGTAAGGAAGCCGCCAAAAAAAGCCGAGGTCCAGAAAGGCAGCTCGGAAGATGATGGTGAGTGGCGAGGCTGTGCATAGGCAGCTGTCGTTGAAGTGCCCATGGTGTGTCTGGGTCTGGACAGTACCATCTTGGTACTCTCCTCCTCCTGTCATTCCCTGTGAGGCAGGTGTTGTGACGATACCCCCACGTACAGACAGGTAAACTGAGGCTGTAAGTAACAGTCACTTGTGCATCTGTGTGACCCTGAGCAGCAGCTGTTGACCACAGCCTCCCCCGCCTCAGTCCGTCTGTCCTCATGGCCACTTGGAGGCCACCTTACATAGGAGGCTTAACGATGGACTGCCAGGAGCCTCTGAGGGCTTCCCAGCCTGATACAGAGGCTGGCGTCCCCAGGCGGCCTGTCCTCTAATGCCATCCGGCCTCAAGCTTTCCTCTTATCAGATGAGGCATCACTTAGCAGCTTGATGTCAGTGATTCCCAGCGCTTTGCCTCTTTGCCTCTAGACGAGGAGCCCCCTGAGGGCAGAGAAAGGCAGCCTCCGCACCTGGGAGGAGGGCACGGCTTATTATAGTCAGTCCAGCAGAGGGTCACGGGTTGGGACTTGGGCCTCAGTGTAGTGGCGCTGGAGTGGGTGAGGCCTTTAAGAAGTGAGGCCCAGTGAGTGGTATCAGATCAGAAAGGCATCGCCTTCACAGGTGGGTTAATGTTGTCCTGTGAGAGTGAGTCTTCTCTACCAGATGGCTGTCCTTGGACTGCACTCACTCTCTCCCCGCACCTGTTCACCTTCCTGCTCCTGCCGGCTATATTGAGACCTCAGGCCAGAGGCAGGCCGATGCCAGCCCCGGGCTCATGGACTTTCCAGACACCCAAACTATGAACTAAATAAACCTCTGCTTATAAATCGCCTCGTCTCGGGTATTTCTGTCAGCAACACAGTCAGACTGAGACAGAGGGGTTGGCGTCTGACAATGCTGACTCTGTCACCTGGAATCTAGGCTTCCGCCTTTTCTTCACATCCATCCCCGGAAGCCCCGAAAAGGAAGCTGCTCCCCAACCCTCCCGGAAGCGACGGCCCGCCAGCTCCAGGTGAGAGCATGCCCCTCTCCCCATGTTCCCTCCTTCTGTTCCTCCTTTGTCATGGCCGGTCCCCAGGGTAACCAAGCAGACCCCTCAGGTCCATGCCAAGGTGGTGGCCCTGTCAGGCCACTAGAGAGAGAGCAGGAAGGCCAAGAAGTTCTACTGAGGGGTAGCTTTGGGTGCTGCCTCTGGAGCACCATGTTGGAGCAGACACCTCACTTTATCTTACTTGCCTCTTGCCACAGCCCTGAGCCTGGGCTCCGCTGAGAGTCCCATTACACAGATGAACATGCAGGGGCCAGAGAAGTTAAGTCACTTAATGAAATCTGGTGAAAAGAGAACCCAGGATTGGAAACCAGGCCTTCCTCATTCTAAAGCCTGAGCTCTCAAACTGCCTGCCTCTCTGGCCTCTCTCAGTGGCGGGCAGCGGAGGGAGCGCTGGGGCCTGTGTAGACTCCCGCTAACCCAGACCACCCTCTCCTTGCAGCAGTGAGGACAGCGACGAGGAGCGGCAGCGGTGCCAGGAGGCGGCTGTGTCAGTCTCCGACATCCTCCAGGAGTCGGCCATCCACCGGCCTGTCCAGGAGACAGAGGCAAAGAAGGAGAAGAGAAAGTTGAAAAAGAAAGCCAAGAAGGTGGCCTGTGTCGACCCGGCTGTAGCCACCACCTCCAGGAATGTGGTCCAGAGCCGGACGGAGGAGTCAGGCAAGCTCAACGGGGACCAGGTGTCACTTGGGATCAAAAAGAAGAAAAGAAAGAAAAAGGCGAAGAAAGCCAGCGAGACACCTCCATCCCCACCAGCACATGGCACAGTGCTCAGGCCTACAAACTGACCCCAGTCTGGGCGCCGGCCCAGCAACTCCATGGACAAGGTGCCCGCTCACGAGGCGTTGCCCAGCCCCACTCCCTCTCCACGTTCAAGGCCAGCAAGTCCATACTCTGCCCAGGAGACCCTGATCGGGACAGGAGCTTGCCCACAAGTCAGCACAAGGCAGTGGTTATAGGACTGGATCAGACCTGTGCTACCAGAATATTCCATGGCCTCAGGAAGAAGGAGCTTCCCTTTACTCAAGACCAGTGACCACGAGGTGAAACGTCCATTTCCCATGCTGTCCGAAGTGGCCCAGTGGGGACCTTTCTCCTTCTCTCCCCTCAGTCTAGTTTGAAAGCAGTTTAGAAAATGAGGGAAGGGGTCCCCAAGATGCCAAAGCCCAGAAAAACTGTTCTTTTCCCTGCAGCCCGCGTACCCTTCATAGAACATTGTCTGAAACAAGAAGAGAGAGTTTTCCCCTCCCCGTTTTCCAGAATTGTCCTTCACATTTGTGAACCTCCCATGCTGGTGATGTCTCTGGGCCAGCTTCATTACTGAAAATAAATTGTCATGGGCCAGCAGATGGCATAGCAGTTATGTCACTGAACTCCCACATGGCCAACTATGGTTCAAGTCCCAGACCCAGTGACTTGAAAATCATGCCAGGCACGTGTGCATGTGTCTCCAAGATCCCAGGATGAGAATGGAGGAGAAGGGATTGCTGCGTGGCCATGCCCCCAGGGGGGGTAATTTCTCACTTCCCCTCTCACCACTCTCTCTCTCTCTGGGGAGTGCATGCGCCTTAAGGCAAAAACCTCAACAAAAAGAAAAAAGAAATTGTCAAGGGGCCAGCAGGTGGTATGGTGGCTAAAGCACTAGAGTCCCACATGGCCGTCCACAGTTCAAGTCCCTAACCTGGCAGCTTGCTTTCTCTCTTTCCTTCTCTCTCTCTTTCTCTGTCTCTTTCTGATGACTAAAGCAAGTTAAAGCATCATTAATAAAATAATTCTTACTGGGACCAGCAGTTGGCATAAAGGCTATGTCACTGGACTCCCATGTAGTCAACTGCAATTCGAGTCCCGGACCTGGTGGCTTAAACTCAAGCTGGGCGTGTGTGCGTGTGCGTGCCCAGGATCCCAAGAGGAGAATGGAGGAGAAGGGATTGTGGTGTGGCCATCCCCCCGGGTGGTGATTTCTCGCTTTCTTTCTCTGGTGAGCGCACCCACCCTGTAGCAAAAACCTCTCAAAAAAGAAAATAAATTGTCAAGGGGCCCAAAACAGTGACTGCATGCTGCCTCTTTTTTTTTTTTTTAAGTGTATGTATTTATCTTTCTCATGAGAAAAGAGAAAGACAAAACACATCTCACCATGGTCTCACCCCAGCCTCTCAGCCAGCCAGGTCACAAGCACACACACACCTGCGTACACAGGCCGATCCAGGACCTGAACCCTCATCTTCCACATGGCTTCCAGCATTACCACTGCACCACTGTGGCTGGGCCGATGCTGAACCTTCATGAGACATTTTAAATAAACGTCTCATCCCAGCTAGGTCCTCCCTCTTATACCTGCAAGGTACATTCCTCCCCATGGCAAGGTGCCAGGAGATGGTAACAGCACTTGGGGGCTAGCTTTCAGGTGGTGTGGTGGCCAGGGGTATTCTGCCAAAGAGGGCAGGAGCCCGAGGTCAAAGTGAAGTTCTGACCTCGTCACCTTGTCTCAGTTTCATCAGAGCAGAAAAGAGAAGCTTGGGCTGAAAGCGTGTGCACCAGGCCCATCCCCTCCACAGGCCCCTGGCCTGCCTAAACCTCCCTCTGCCTACCCAGCTCCCTCCTGGATGATTACACAGGTGAAAAATGTCCAGTACGCTTCTCAGTGACTTTACTGAAAGTTAAATAAGTGCACAGTCTCCCTTAGCTGGCTACAAGCTGCAGGAGACGGTGGTTCTCCCAGGCCCTTCCCTCAGTTCCAGGGCGAGGTGGTCTGCTGGTGGCCAGAAGCAGAGGTCCCATGTGCCCTGGGTTCTCATGGCAGTTTTGTCCCTCCAGGCACTGCTTTGACTCCTCGGGGTGGCTGTGAACTGCCGGAGCCCAGGCCTGAGCCAGACAGGCTCCCAAGCTTCTGCCAGCACAGCTGGCTTCTCTCGGTGAATCTCACCTCCTCCTCCGGGCACCTGGGCTCTGCTGGCAGCCCAAGCCTGCTGCCTTCCCAGCTCAGTAGCTCCTCCCCTGAAACAGGGAGCGTGTCTGCAGGGGCTAGAGCAGCTGCTGCCTCGGACTCGGACTTGGCCCCCACAAGAGCAAGGATGACGTTTAGCCCCCAAGTGGACTTGCTGGTGGAGGCAAGATGCCACTGTCCTCAGAAGCACTGTGCTGAGGTGGCAGGGGGAAGAGTGTCCAATAAAACGAGGCTCTGAGGCCAGACAGGAGGGATCGCTCAAATGGAAGCTGGGAGACCCCCAGGTGCCCACCTGGCTGTCACAGAGTAGACAGGAAATGCCACGCGAGAGCGTGGTGGGGAGGCACAGATGGCTTGTAGTCACTAGCAGGTGGAGTGGCCTTGTGGGTGCACAGGTGACAATCATGTTGATCCAGGGCCTCCGGGAGCCCAGCAAGTCATCGCTGCACCAGCCTGTGTCCTGACCAGTGCGCTGCCCCAGCCTGTGTCCTGACCAGTGTGGCTGCTGGAGTTCCCTGGGGCTCACCCCGGGCCCAGGATAGGGGTTCCAGAGTCAAAGGCTGCCCACATAACGGGATTTCGTCCCAAGCAGCAGGGACAGTCCCTCCCACATCCTGGCAGGGACAGCTCTGGCTCCCAGCTCCCCATTTCTCCTTGTGCAGTGGAATCAGCAGCCCTCCTCAGGTGGGGCACTCAGACCCTCCTGTCCTGGTGCTGGCAGAGCAGGGTGGGGATGGGCACGGTTCTTGGGAGGGCAGCAGGCCTGTGGCAGCGCAAGTTCAGAGGTACGAATGTCCTCTAGGCAGCACGCAGGCAGTGCAGGCTCCAGGGCCCAGCCCCTGGGAGGCGGTGACCATGGTTACTGGGAGGAAGAGGCCATCTGCGTGGAGATGAAGGTCTCAATGACGCTGTGGTTGGATGGCAGCAGGTGGCTGTGGCCATTGGTGGAGTCGGAGCTCTGGTACAACACCAGGCTGCTGGAGGACACTGCGGAGGCAAATGAGACTGCTGGGTGCCCGCCATTCCACCCTCATCCCATCCGCCTGGCTGTTCGCAGGGGTACTCGGGACAGGGGAGGCAGGGCCTCACACCTCCTGTGTCACAGCAGATAGCAGGAAGCTCAAGGTCAAACCTCTAGCCTTGGTTCTTTATTTTTAATTGCCAGAGGGCACCTGCACTGTAGAGAGAAAGCACTCCCAGTGGGTGTTGTCACACCACAGTCCCTCCTCCAGTTCTCCACTCTGTCAGGATTTGGGGCATGCATACATATGCCTGGCATGTTTTACAAGCCACCAGAACCAGGACTTGAACCACGATCGGCCATGTGGGATGTGGCTCCTTTAACCACCAGGCCATGGAACTAGCTCTACCCGTTTTGTTTTATTTTTAATATTTAATTTTTAAATTTTAATTATTATTTGTTACTTTGCTATAGGGCACATATGCTCATCAGAGAGAGAGAGGGAAAGTGAGACAGTAAGCCACCAGGTCCGGGACAGGGTTGGATGCCTAGACGGTCTGCAGGAGGTGGACATAGGCAGCAACCCACACCCCGATCTTATGTGGGAGTAAATCCATCTAATATTTCAAGGGAAGCCAGAAATCTGGATTTCTAGAAAAAAGTCCCCAATTTTTAAATATTGGCAACCAATTCCGGGAATGTAACCCTGAGCTGAGCCAAACTGAACGCAGCCGTGAATCCTTTCTGGCCCACAACGAGCTCTGGCTACTACTCAGTCTTACCCTGTGTTGCCCCTTCTGATTACGTGGTCTTTGCCCTCAAAGGAGTCACCCAGAGGGCCCTGTGGGACAGAGCTCACCTTCCTAAGGCGTGCACGCCCGGCGCGCTGCGGGAGCGCCCCCTGTCGTCCGCCTTTGTTACTGCACACACCGCCCCACGCCCTGATTGGACACCAACAAGGAGGTGGGGCCAGGCCGCTTACCCGTAGGGCTGGCGCTAAGACGATGCGTAGGCTGCAGGTGCTGGATTCCTGCCGAGTCCTGGTTGGGGACGTGGAGGGTGGTGGCTTGGGATGCTGGCGTGTGAAGCCCGGACTCACCAGCGGCCTCTGGGTCCGAGGTGAAGACCTAGGGGAGCAGAGCAGCCTCCTGAGCCCCGAGGCATGGGTGGAGGGGGCTTGGGGGTGGGGCTGAGGGAAGGACTTCGCAAGTCTGGCCTTACCTGCTTGGTGGGCGTGAGGCTGGCAAGGGCACTCAGGTTGGTGGTGTCGGTGATGAGCATAGTTTGAGGAAGCAGGCCCGTGTGCGTGTACTGGGCCACCTCGGGTTTGTGACTGTAGAGGGCTGGCCGGGAGAGAGAGGAGAGGAGGAAACACTTAGCAGGCATTCCCTGTCGGGCAGGCCTCAAAGCGCAGGGAACAGGGCTTGGGGCCTGCTGAGGGCTCCACGGAGCAGTGACTGGGGTTCCAGGCCTGGTTTCCTGGTGGCCCCAGGTAGGGGGACTAGACAGCCTCCCATGCTATAGGGACCTGCTCAGCTGGGATTAGAGAGGAAGAGCCTGGAGGAGGTCTGGAAGGGACTCTAGTTCCTCTTGTCGCTGGGAGACACTGGTATGAAAGAGTGGGAAGCACAGGAGCAGCGCTACTGTACTCGGTGCAGGTGCTTTTGTATTAAATGTAAGTGCTGTGTACTAAGCACAGGTGCTGTGGTACTAAAGGAAGGTGCTACCGCACTGAGTGCAGGTGCTACTGTACTAAGCACAGGTGCAGTGTACTAAGCACAGGTGCTACTGTACTAAGCAGAGGCACAGTGTACTAAGCACAGGCGCAGTGTACTAAGCACAGGTGCTACTGTACTAAGCACAGGCACAGTGTACTAAGTGCAGGTGCTACTGTACTAAGCACAGGTGCAGTGTACTAAGCACAGGTGCAGTGTACTAAGCGCAGGTGCTACTGCACTAAGCACAGGTGCAGTGTACCTGTGCCGGACACCTCTCCAAAATGGTACCCAACATTTCACCACCAGCCCCCCAGGAGGCACATGGACACCAGCAAAACACATAAATCACTTATCCTCCGTAACTCAGATAAAGACAACACTCGCATACACAGAAATACATGCATTTTTGGCCACGTACACACAGAGAAGTATATGAAGTGACTTCAAAAGGTCGATGGGAAAATGGAGTTAAAGTACAGTTTATTTTGGTACACACTTGGACCTCACACACACGCACACACATCACGACCCCTGCGAGCCACCTCCGGCACGCATGGACTGCCAGCCCCACCTCTACCTCCGCAGTGTGGGGTGAGGGATGCTCACCATGGGGACTCTGCAGCTGGGCCATGGTGGCCATGAATGGGCTCTGGGCCACGTGACTCTGCACTGGTGGCATGAGTGGCTGTTGGTAGGACGGGTGCAGCGGCTGGGAGAACTGGACCGGCTGCAAGGTGGTCAGGCTGCTGCCCATGCTGTTGATGACCGGTACACTCTGTGCCTGCGTGGAGGCCAGGCCTGCAGAGGGAGGGCAGGAGTCAGCAGGCTTCTCTCCACCTTCACTGCCCCTGGGGTCCACCATCCCTTCTTCCCGGTGAGTTGGAGGAGGGGGCAAGGCAGTCATTTCTGCCCAGGGACCTTCCACTACCCAAAGTGACATCGGTGAGTCACTCCCCCGTTTGAGGCTTTAGCTTCTTGGCTGGGCTGGTGGAAGAGGTGGGCAGTGACCAATTTGAAGTTTGTCATATTGGGTTCCCTGCAACCCTGGCATATCACGCAGTGCAAAGACTCTGGAATTAGCTCTCTGCAACTCGCTTGCAGCAGTTATCTGTCTCACATACTAGGGGGTTCTTGCAAATAAGACTTTCTGGGCTTTAAAAAAAATTTTTTTTAATTGCCATAGAGCACATGTACTCACTAGAGAGAGAATGAGAGAACCCCTTAATGAGCACAGTCATGCCACAATCCCTTTTCTCCTCACCATCAGAATTCTGAACACACATCCATATGTGCCCAGCACGTTTTTCAAGCCTCTGGGGCCAGTTGTGCATTCCAGTTCCCTTAACCTCCAGCTGCTATAGGGCAGCCCCCCAAATTTTAAAAATAAAACTGAAAACCTAGAAAATATCAGTCTCCCTTACCTCACTCTATTTTCTCCCTTCATTGTTGTCCCCTTCTGAAGTCCTATGTCATTTATATATTATGCTTTTTGTCCGCCTCCCTGCTTGGGGCACTGAGATTTGGGTCCACTGGGCTCTGACTTTGCACAGTGGCTGACCCAGAGCAGGAGTCAAGGAGTATGTGCAGTCTGAATGAATGAATGAGTTTCTTCCCTCCCCCCCCCCGGTCCCCACCGTTCCCCACCTGCTTACCAATGACCAGGGTGGAGGCGCCTGTGTTGGTGAACGTGGGGCCCAGGGAGGCGGGCTCACCGGGGCCGATGGTCATGACCCCAGGAAGCGAGGCCATGATGAGGTTCTGGGGCTGCTGGTTGAGACCTGGAGAAGTCTGCTCCAAGCTGTGCAGTGCTGTCAGGGTGCTGACAGGGGGGAGGGGACCCCCAGCTGTTGAGACCTGCACGGGGAAGCCAAGCTGAGTTGAAGGGCAGGGTCCCCACCCTGTCTTCCTGGGGATTGCTCCAGGACCTCCCTGCCAAGGAAAGGTGGGGGTGGAAGGGTCTTCCTCCAGGCAGGGACATTTACCAGCTTGGCTTCAGTGCTTAGCAGGCTGTGGCTGGGCTCCAGGCCCGTAGGGGACACTTGGTGCAGGGGTGCAGAGACCGTCACCAGGGGGCCACCGCTGCTGGAGGGCACGTCTGCTGCCTCACTGTTTGCAGGCTGTCCATAGCGCACACCTGGAGCAGGGAGGGGAGCAGTGTCTGGCCTCAGGACCCCACTCCGCTGTCTGTGCTTGCCTCCATAGCCCGTTTCTCCTAACTGCGTGGGCCTGCTTAGGCCAGCTGCCCTATCTTTCTTGTGCACCCAGCAAACTGCTCGAGCAGCCACCTGTGCCACACCCTGTACTGGCTGCTCCCAGGCCCTCAAAGGTGAGGGCTGCGTTTTATTAGCTCCACGGCACCCACCTATTGCTCTGGCCGACATGGAGTGGGTGCTCAGTGAGAGCCAGTTGAACTGCACTCAATGGAGGCTGATGAAATCACACTGAAGTGAACTGAGCTGAACAGAATGAACCAGAATTCGTTGAATGAACTAATCTAGTTGAATTGAACTTGAAGCGAATTGAACTTGATGGAGTTGAGCTGAATTAAATCGAATTGGTTTAAATTGAATGGAGCTCTACACAATTAACTGACTGTTATTGAATTAGATTTAGTTAGACTGAAGGGTCTGAATGGAAATTGGCTAGATTAAACTTTACCGAACTTAAACTAAATTAGATTATAATGAGTTGAACACAATTGAACTGGATTTAATTGAATGGAGTTGAACTGAAGTGAGTTGGATTGATATGATCTGAAATGAATTGAAGTAACCCAAATTACCTTAGGTGGAATTGAGTGAAGTTATATGGGCTGTGGAGAACGGAGTGGCTGGAATGGCATGGAGTACCATGGGGTGGAATGGAGTGGCGTGGATAGAATGATATAGATTAGATAGGGTAGAATGAATGGAATAGAGTAGATGGATTGAAATGGAGTGGGGGCACCAGTAGATGGCATGATGGTTATATCGCTAGACTCCCACGTGGTCCATCACAGTTTAAGTCCCAGACCTGGTGGCTTCAAACTCACACTGGGCACATGTGTGTGCGTGCCCAAAATCCCAAGAAGAGAATGAAGGAGAAGGGATTCCAGCATGACCATCTCCCCTAAGGGGTGATTTCTCACTTTCTATCTCTCTGTCTCTCCAGCGAGCACACTTGCCCTATAGAAAAATTTTCTCTTAAAAAGAAAGAGAAAGGAAAGAGAGAGAAGAGAGAAGGAGAAAAAAAAGAAAGAAAGAGAAAGGAAGGCAGGCAGTGGAGTGGGTAGAGTGGAGTGCTGCGGACTGGAGTGGATGGAATGGAGTAAGGCAGATGGAGTGGAGTGTGTGGAGTGGAGTAAATGGAGTTGGATGGAGGGGGTGGAGAGGAGTGAATTGTGAGAGTGTGACTAGTGGGAAGTAGAGTGATATGGAGTGGAATGAATGGAGTAGAGTGAGTCGATGAGGTGGGGATGGTGAGTAGAGTAAAGTGGAACAGAACCAAACCCAAGTGCCAAAAGGTTTGAGCAGCTAGTGCCACCAGGGCAATCATCCCCAACTCCACCTACCCACATGTCCCCTCTACCCACTGACCCAACCCCCTCCCACATGGCACTCACCATGGACCTTACTGGGGGAGAGGGCAGGTGGGGGCAGGCCAGGAGAACTGTGGGCAGGCAGCGTAGGGCCCGGGCCTGGCCCTGGTGGGGGCCCGCTATAGGTGTCCATGGCCAGCTTGTGTCGAAAGGCTTCTTCTTTGCGCCGGTTGGCAAACCAGTTGTAGACTCGTACCTCCGTGACAAGGTTGGAGCCTAGCCCCTGTGCCTGTGACGGTGACACCCCTCTCTGGATGCACTCTGCCCTGTAAAAATGGCCACCCATGAGTCTCCAGGCTAGGCTCAGAGGAACCCACTCCTGGGGTTGGGCAGAAGGTTTGAAGAAGTTGGACTCTACCTGAGAGCTTGAGGCCAGCAGATCTGGGTTTTAAGGTCAGTTCTGTTGCATAACCATGGGCAACCAACTTAGCCTCTCCACCTCAGTCGCTCCATTCATAAAGTGAGCGAAATAGTCATAGGGTGGTAGAGGGGTGAAATGAGATGAGCAGCCACCCAGGATGGCTTGGATGGGCCAGGGTACCAGGAATGGAGTTAGGTTCAAGACAGCAAGTTCAAGTTAAATATTCTCAACTGTCTGGGCCAGGCTAAGCCAATAGCTGGAGATCTCAAGGAACAGAGTGAATTCCTCAGGACCCACAGTCACCTTCTCCTTCCCTTTTCCCAGCCTCACCCCTGCCCAGAGCAAACCAGTGCTGCTACTCGCCAGTCGTTTTTACCTATTGCACTCCTCCACCAATGTCTCTCGCTCCTCCTTGCTGGGGTTCTTCTGCCTCTCATAGGCCTGGAACAGGATCTGCTGGGATGCTGGGCCCCATTTGAAACGGTTCCTCCGGCCCTTCTTGGTTGGCAGCTCATCACCTGTGGGCTCTTCGATCAGCCCACCCTGCCCAGCATGAGTGAATTCTGTAGGCACAGAAAGTCATGAGTGGAACACTAGCCACTCTCACCTTCCCACACCAGGTACCTGACCATGGCCCTGATTCTTTCTCATTCCCAGGTGGTGAGCCAGAAGAACTCACAGCTAGGACTCAGAAACCATCCAATTCAGTGACAACGAACACACAGCACATGTGCCTCCACTATCTTAACCTGTGTCCAAGGCAGGCATCACCAATCAACCCCTGCATGCTTTTCCATTGAGTCAAGATATAATTTCACAATCTTTAATACGAGATTCCAGATAAGAATTAGCCTTTCAAATCTGGCATATTTACTATCCCCATGTTACAGATAAGAAAGCTGGGGCTTGGGGAAATTACACATTTCCAAGGTCACACAGTAGGGTAGAAAGATAAGCCATATCTCCTGAGTAGATTCAGAACCATTTTCAACTTTCCAAACTTGGAAATCTGACTTAAAACACAAGTGTTAGCCCAGCCACAGTGGTACACAATGCTATGATGTCATGCTTTGTAGGCTGGGACTATGTGGGAGGCTCCGGGTTCTCTTTGTGGCCAGAACTAAAGACCAGGTGTGGTGGCATGCACCTGTAATGTCAGCAACCTAGGAGGCTGAGGCAATAGGATCAGGAGCTCAGAGCTGGCTGGGACTTTGAGTGAGATCCTGTCTAAAATAGAGCTGGGCGTGGTGGCCTGTGCCTGCAGCACCAGCTGAGAGGCTCAGGTAGTAGGAACATGACACAGTGAGACCCCATCTTAAAAAATAAAATAAAATAAAATAAGCAAGTGTCAGCCAGGAGCAGGAGAGAAGAGAGCCAGCCAGCCCTTGTTGGCTCTTCCACTTTACCGGAAACAGCTATCAGATTATCCCTGAGCAGGTTGCCAAAGGAATGGGACAGACAGTGCTGCATATTTGCATGAGAGGAAGAAGAAAGTTCTGAGTCAAAGGTCCAGCAGAAGGAAAGCCCTCACCATCTGAGTGCTTAACAGAGGCAGTGGTGAGGCAGGGAGAGGCAAGGAGCTCCAGCAGCTACCCTGGCCGCCTGCTGCAAGCCCACCTGGCTCGGATTTCAGCATTCTCAGCAGCTATAGCTTGAGCATCCACTCACAGACTCTCAGTTGGCCATCTTACTTTCATGGCTGGCAGGGTCCTGGACAGGGTTTCTGACTTAGCTCAGAAACTAAAATCGGGCCAGCAGGTGTCATGAAGGTTAAGGTGGCTGGATCCTACATGGCCAACTTTCTCAACTGGCATCCCGGATCTGATGGCTTAAAAATCATGCTGGGCATGTGTGCATGCATGCCTGAAATCCCAAGAGAAGACTGGAGGAGAAGGAATTGTGGTGTGGCCATCCCCCCAGAGGGTGATTTCTCACTTTCCCTCTATCTATCTCTCTGGCAAGCACACACTAGTTTTAAAATTTGAAAACCAATTTTAAAACTAGTAAATCATACAATTTTTTTTTTTTTAGAAAAGACATGGTTTAGAAGGTATAAGGCAAACCAGAGTAGGAGAATATATTTTTGGTACATGTATTTGAAGAAAGGCTTAGTGTCAGGGTTATTTAATTAATTAATTAATTAATTTCTTAAATTTGCTAGAGAGCACATGTGCTCAACAGAGACAAAGAGAGAGAAAGCAACCCTCCCCCCATAGGGCATGGCCACACTGCAATCCCTTCTCCTCCATTTCTCCATCCTGTTGGAATTTAGGGTGCACACCCATACCCAGTCTGTTTTTCAAGCCTTCAGGGCCAATATTTGAACCACACTATTGGGCATGCGAGATCTGACTCCCTTAACCACTAGACCATGGTGCCAGCCTAGTCAGAATGTATTTTTAAAACCCTCTACAAATTGATAAGAAAAAAGCAGACAACCCAAGGGAAAAACAATGAATAACCTCCTTGAATAGGCACTTCTTAAAGATCTCCAAATATCCAATGAAAAGATACTTGACATAAGGAGTTATCAAGGAAATGAAAGTTAAAAACCACAATGCAAAACCACTACACACCTACCATGGCTTAAATAAAAAGACTGACATCACCAAGTGTTGACAAAGATTCCAGGAGCACCTGAAATGCTCAAATACTGTTGATTGAAGTGCAAATTAATAACTATTTAGCTACATCTAACAAAGCTGAACTTATGTTTACTCTTTGACTTAGCAATTTCACGCCTAATGGAAATGTATACACAATATAAAGCATAAACACATTCAGCAAAAGACATGTGCTGAAATGTTCATAGCAGTAGAGTTAACAATAACAACTAACCAGAAGCAATCAAATGTCTGTCAAGGAAGAAAGATAACTATATTGTATTTACACAATGAGAATGGCCAATCTACAACATGGAACTACATGGATGAATCTCACTCCCATAAAATGGAGTGAAAGAAGTCACTGTGCCAACCTGTGGTGTGATGGTTAAGGCAGCATAATCCCACATGATTAAGTGTGTGGTTCAAGTCCTGGACCTGGCGGCTTGAGAAACATGCCAGAAATTAATACATGTGTGCCCAAAATCCTGAAAGGAGGGAGAGATGGAGGAGAAGGGATTATGGCATGACCATGCCTTATGGGTGGTAGTTTCTCACTTCTCTTTCTCTTTTTGTCTCTCTCAAGTGAACACATGCACCCTCTGGCAAATTTTGTTTTTAAAAGTCACTGTATTGTATCATTCAATTTATACAAACTTCAACAACACCTGTAACAGTCAAGATTAGCAATTCATCTTAGGAGAGGAGGACTTCTGGGGAACTGGTAATGTTCTATTTTTTTTTATCTGGTTGATAATTACATTGGTGTGTTTCACTGAACTCTGCTCTTAGGATTTTGTATGTTACACTTCATTTTAAAGTTTACGAAAAATAAAAAGTCATTCAACTGAAAAGAGGAGCTCTTTTCCCTCTCAAATTGATAAGCTTGTAGGAGGGCAGCCCAGAGCTCCCAGGACCATCTTGGCCTATATGAGGAGAACCTGCCTGAGAGTAAGCCAATTAAAACAAAACCAAACTAACAGAGCCAAGAAATGCTGTGCAAACATCAGTTGAGCCCCTGGATTTAGCCATGCCTGAAGTAGCACTGGACTCTTTGTATCCATGAGCCAATAAATTCTTTTCTGGGGGCCAACCAGTAGTGTGCTGGTTAAGGCAGTTGGATCCCACATGGATGACTGCATGGTTCGAATCCTGGACCTAGCAGTTTGAGAAACACACCTGGTATGTGTGTGTGTGCATGCCCAAAGTCCCATAAAGGAGGGAGAAATGAAGGAGAAGAGATTGTAGTTTGACCATCCTCCATGGAGGCTGCTTTCTCCCTTTCTCTCTTTCTGTCTCTGGTAAGCACACATGCCCTCTGGAAAATGTAAGGGGGGAAAAAAAAAACTATGCATAGATTTCAAAAATTTGGGGGATCAAAATAAACTCAGACTTCAATTCCATTTTCCACAAACTCTTTGAGGTCCCCTCATAGCTCACCCAGTTCTTCCTGAGTTTGCAGTGGATAGTACCTGGGTGTATACCTTGCTCTGAGCCCTTATTCACACTGTTCCTTCTGCTTGAAACACCCTTCCCTGTATGCCCATGGCTCAAAATTCAACTCACACTTTAAGGCCTCATACTTCCTGTGTGACCGTTCTTGATGCCTCTACCTCCCTGAGGGAGAATAGACCACCCTCCTCTGCAGTCAGCTCAATACTTCGAAATACTTTGTGTGGTGCTCTACCCTAGGCCTGGCACGTAGTAACTTCTGGATAAACTCTGGCTATTGCTGTTGCTGTCATGGTGGTTATCACAGGATAATTCAGGTCTTGCTGTATCAGGGGGACCTTTCCTCTCATTCCCATGAACACTGAACTCTTGGAAGGCAACTTATTCATCTTTGGATAAACTCTCCCAAAGCCCTGAGTGCAGCATAGGTGATAAATGTGGGCTCTCAGTCTATCTAGTCAAGTAATGGGGATGGTAAAGCTTCCCGTCCACACCTGTGACCTGGGGAGAGTCCTGGGCCCTGCCAGGGAAGACACGGGCTGGGGTGGTTACTTACGCTGGGCCACCTCTCGCTGCTTGCGGACGTACCAGGTGTACAGGGCAGCTCGCTTCTGCGTCTTCATGGGGGTGCCCTTGTTGAGGTGCTGGGACAGGTGGGACTGGTTGAGGCCGGTGGTGTCGACCACCTCCCGCTGTGGGATGTTGTGCTGCTGGAGGTAGGACTTGACCATCTTCGCCACACGCCATGGGTCCTCCCTGGGAGGAGAGCAAGGACCAGGTGTACTCAGCCGGAAGTGCCCAGTGGGCCCTGCCAGCCCTGCAGGTGGGGTTGGAGTCCTGGGTACTTGAACCGTTGTCAACCCTGGGGGCAGGGATTGCATAGATTATGGTCATTCGTGCCAGGACACAGGGATATGGACTCATGGACATGGGAACAGACACTTGTAGACATAACCCCGGACACACAGACACAGGAACAGATAAAGGTTTGAGAACATGGGCACACAGACACATGGACACAGATGTAGACACACACAGACTTCCACCAACCACTGCGCAAGCCAGGTAGGGAGAGTTCTCGTCTTTGTACCTCAAAGTTCTGCCCTCGCCCTACCTGGAAATGTCATTTGTGGTTGTGCCTTTTCCACTGTGAGAGGTTGGAAGGAAGGAACTTTCTGGTCCTCGGCACCCCAAATGGGCCCACCATAGAGTATGCTATTGATGAATACATGAATGAATTGGATGGATGGATGGATGGTAGGTGGATGATTGAATAGGAGAGTGGATGGACGTGGGAGTCAGTGGGAGGGTGAGTAGACGGATGGGTGGATGAGAGAGTGGATGGATAGGTAAGTGAATAGATGGATGAGTGAGTGAATGGGTGAGTGGGTAGACAGATAACTAAATGATAGAGTGGATGGTTATGTGAGTGAATGGGTGAGTGGGTAGACAGATGACTAAATGATAGCATGGAGGGTTCTGTGAGTAAGTAGTTGGATGGATGGTTAGTTGATTATGTGGGTAGATGGGTGAAGGGGTAAGTGAGTGGATAAATATGTGAGCAGATGGATGGATGAGTGAAACCAACTGGGAAAAGAAAAACATTGACTAAAACAAGGAGAGAAATAAGGATCTTCCCATTGTATAAGTTAGAGCCACTGAGGCTCAGAGAGCTTACATCACTAGCATCTCTTGTCAAAGAGTTGGCCCAGTAAAGTCCCACTCTACTAGAAGGGATTCAGTTCTAAGTCAACCTATCAAGTGAAAATCACACAGGGTCCAAATGCCTCCTAGAAATCTGCACTAAGCCCTTGGCAGCAGCCTCTCCGGTGTCCCCACAACAATGTGTGTGTGAGCACCAGAATCCCTGTGGGCTGAGATTCTCCCACTAGAGAGACATAAGGGACCAAGGCCACCTGTGATTCCTGCCCTTGTCCTCTGCTCACTATGGGTCTCCCTATGGGGAATGGAGACCCACTGGCTCTTTGCTGCTGCCTTGACCCTCTTCCTTCCTTGCTCCTCCTCCTGAGCAAAAAATACAAATATGTGTCAAATACAGCTCAGCACAACACTGCCGACACAGGCAGACCGGGAACTGAACTCAGGTCTGTGCGGTTCCAAAGCCTCTGTTGTCCCCCGCCTTGACTCAGCAATTTGCTTCTATTGGCTCCTGTGACAAATGGCACAGGTGTGGAACACAACTCGCTGTCATGATGCTTGCCATAGCAAAAGAGGACACAGCCAGAGTCAAGCAAAAGGACTCTGGTAATCATGATGCCTCTGTTCCATGCGGCCATAAAACTCTGAGCGGGCTCTGTGTGGGCAGGAAGGAACCGTTCATCTATATTGGCTGTGCTGTTTTCTGTGTAAAATTAAAAGTGGGATAAGGGCCAGCAGGTGGCGTGGTGGTTACAGCTCTGGATCCCACATGGCTGCAATTTGAGTCCTGGACCTGGCAGCTTGGAAAGCACACCAGGTATATGTGCACGCATGCCCCAAATCCCAAGAGGATAATGGAGAAAAAGGGATTGAGCTTCCTGAATCTGAAAACCAAAAACCCCAAATGCTCCAAAATCTAAAACTTTTTGAGCTCCTATATAACACTAGAGGTGAGAAATTCTACACCTGACCTTAAATGACACGTAGAAGCCAAAACGCTGCAATACAAAAATCTCTTATACAATGACCTTAAGGCATATATAAAACAGAAATGAATTCCATGTTGAGACTTGAGTTCCATCCTCAAGGGTGCGTATTTTATATATGCAAATGTTTCAGAGTCTGAAATCTGAATCACTTCTGGTTCCAAGCATTTTGGATAAGGGATACTCAACTGATAAAATATTTAAAACAGAATCGTAAACAACTAAAAGAGCCCCTGTAGCTCTCTGAAGGCTCTCTGTGCCCTCTCTCCCTGGCCCTCGAGCAATGCCCTTCTCAGATGTGAGAGCAGAGAGCCTGACTTCCTCCTTCTTATCAGCCATTCTCAGAGAGGAGGAGGGAGAAGAAGGTGGGGCAGACAAATGTCAGTCAGCAGTTGGTACAGCAAAGGCCCGTTTGTGTAACAGTGATAAATGTGGGAATGAGTGTTTGACTATGTGCTGGGCGCCGGGGTGCTGTGTGCTAAGGGTTGGTCATTGAAATCTTACAATAACCCTAACAAGCTGGCACTATCCGTGTGCCCATTGACAGATGAGAAAGCTGAGGCTCCAGAAGATGCAATCACCGGTCCAAAGTAACCAAGCTGGGACTTAAGATTATTTCACATCTCCAGGATCCTGCTAGCCCCCACCACAGCCCCCAGCTCCTCCTCTTTCTGGCCTCTTCCTCTGTCTAATTTCAGGGGTTCCTAGGATCCTGGCTTCTCCGCCTCCCCCCTCCCTGGGTGCCAGTCAGAGAGGAGTAGGGAAGGGCAGTACAAAGTCCAGCCTGTGCTGGCAAACATGTTTATCTGATCCCAGAGCTGAGCTGCCGCCTCCTCCTCCCCCACCCGCCTGCTCTATCCTCCCTCCCTCCCTGCTCTCTTCTCCAGAAAGAATGGGGTCACTCTTCCTCCAACAGGGCTCCTCCGGCTCATACTGAAGATTTACTCTGGGCCACTGTCCATCTGACCCGCTTTCTCTCTCTCTCTCTCTCTCTCTCTCTCACACACACACACACACACACACACACACACACACACAAGGTCAAATTTAACGTGAATGTGCATGGGAAGCAAAAAAAAATGCCAGTCAGTAGACAGGGAACCTGCCAGCCAGTGGTGTGGTGGTTGAGGCAGTTGCGTCCCACAGGGGTCACTGCACAGTTCAAGTCCCAGACCCAGTGGCTTGAAAAACACACCAGGTGTGTGTGCATGTGTGTCAAAAATCCCCAGAAGAGAGTGGAGGAGAAGGGATTGTAGAGTGGCCATCCCCCCTGGGGGGGGGTGCTCTCCCTCACTCCTCTATCTCTGTCTCTCTTTTCATCTCTCTGTCAATCTCTTACACACACAGCTACTCACTCAGTCACCAGTCTCCAAACACCGAACTCTTCTTTTAGCATCCTCCTGACTCTTCCAGCTCAGAACTACTAGGCCAATTCTTCAGACATCTCTTATTCTGATTGATAGATTCAAGAGTCCAACCAACCTGGGTTCAAATCCCACCAGAGCAACCCAGCCCCAGTATCATCCTGGTGGCTCTGGTCTCCCCCGCAGCATGAGGTGTGTGCATCGGCACACACCCCACCTCACACTGCTACTGGGAAATTAAAAGAATCGTAAGCAGAGATGAGGTGCTTCTGGCAGGGCCTGGTTCACTCAGTAAGTGAGCAAAAGCATTACCGTTGTCATCGTCATCATCATCATCATCGCTAACCACAGCAGAGCCCAGGAGGGATGAAGCTCTGCCCACACCTCCCTCCTCTCCCCTCCCAGCTATTCTTGAGTCAGTCGAGGCTCCAAGGCTTTGGCCTTTTGCTCTCTGGCCCCTGGGATTTCTAGGCATAAAGGCTGTAAAGCTGGGAGACCAGCCTGAAGGGCCGCCCATCCGGACAGAGAGTTGAACTCTCAATACAGATGTTTTAGAGCTGAGTCTAAGTCCCAGTTCTGCCGTGTACTGTCCCAGTGGCCTTGGAGAGTCGCTTCACTTCTGTGTGCCTCAGTTTCCTCATCTGTTAAATGGGGCTAATACTTCACACATCGGAGATATCAATAGTTGGAACGGAAACAAGTGAGTTTAGTGCATTCGTGAGCTCCAAAGCACTGTGTGGGAGTGAGGTGAGCTTGACAGGCAAGTTGCTCAGTGGGAATGACTGGGGAGGGGTGTGGGGGAGGCAACTTTCCAAGCTAGATGTGTGGCCTGAAGCGAGCTATGCAGGGTGGAGGGGCAGGAGGACGCAGTGCAAGGGCTGACCTTGCTACTCTGGAAGACGTGCCTTGGGGACATCACTCTGCCTCTCTCAGCCTTCATTTGCTTATCCGTGAAATGGGACCATGGGGACCAGCAGATGGCATAATGGTTACGTCACTGGACTCCCATGTAGTCGACCATGGTTCGAGTCCTGGACCTGGTAGCTTAAAAATTTACTCTGGGTGCGTGTGCACACATGCCCAAAATCCTGAGAGGAGAATGGAGGAGAAGGGATTGTGGTGTGGCCATCCCCCCGGGGGGTGATTTCTCGCTTTCTGTCTCTTTGTCTCTCTGACAAGCACATGTGCCTCATAGCAAAAACTCTCTCCAAAAATTAAAAAAAAAAAAAAAAGAAAGAAAGAAAGAAAGCAAGAAAAAGAAACGGGACCACGGATAATTTGCACGTGGCACTTTCTGCACCTGTGCTGTGGAGGACCCTGCTAGTGAACACCCTGGGTAAGTGCTAGCATCCGCCTTGCAGAGGAACCTGCGGTTCAGAGGAGTGAAGCCAACTGTCTGAGCCAGAAAAGGGCGGGAGCTGCTGTTCACCTGGCAGGCTGGCTTCCGTGAGGGGTATCAGATCCTCCCACCGACCTAGACTACTATCTTCCTGGGTCTCGGTGTCCTGTCCCACCGCCTGATGGGATAGGCATGGGACAGGCCAGCAAGAGTAGGAGTTGAGCTGTTCAGAGACAGAGGAGACTCAGGAGGGCACCCCAGAAGGAGCCCTGGGTACCAGCACCTCCCTCGGCCACACCTCAGTCTCCTGGACCCTGGCCAGCAGAACAGCAGGTGTCACAGGATCTCAGAGAATCCTGGTTGCACCTCCATTTAGACCCTGCATCTCCCCCTGCCCGGGGCTGGGGGTTGGGAAGAGTGGGGAGCCAGACGGCACACAGGCCGCACTAGAAAAGGCTATTCCATGACAGGAGACAGAAACGAAATAAGACAGCCGCCGTGATGATCAGGGATAGGAGAAAGTAAGCAGAAGTGGGGAAGAGAGCGACTGGAGGGGCAGCCAGGGAGCTACAGGAGGAGATGGGATGGCCGTGGAAAGGAGGCTCTGAGCAAGAGGAACAGCATATGTGAAGGCCTTGAGATGGGAATCAGGGGCATTGAGGGACAGCAGAGTTGGTGAGGGACAGAGAGGTCTGGGAAGGAGTCAGAGAAGTCATTGGGGGTGGGGTGAGTCTGGGGTTGAGGGACAAAGACGAGGAGCACGGATTTAATTCATTGTCTGGGTAGGGAAACTGAGGCCGAAGGAGGGCAAAGGCTTGCCCCAAGTCATGCAGAGAACTAAGTGGAGATCTGAGGGAAGAACTCAGAATTCTGCCGTGGCCTCTAGCATGGGGCACTCCAGAGAGGCCTGGGACCAAGGAGCCCCCTCTTCCCAGACACTGTCTTCTCCAGAAAGAGTTCCCACTGGAAGTCTTCCCTGCATCCTTTGGCCTCTACCTCCCTCGCTGACCAGGCTTGCTTCAGGGGTCCAGCACCCCTGACTCCCTGGCTCCCTGCCCCCCTGAAGCTGAAGGCCCCACTTTTGTCCATTGGGGCGTTTTCAGAACCCTTTTGTTACCTGAACAATAAGTAACCCAGGTAGTTAGTTATAAACTCTGCAGGAACAAGGAGCTGGTTGATAATTTATAGCAACATCTCAAATTTAAATGGAAAGTAAATAGCACGCTGTTAGCATTAAAGAAAACCCAATCGGGGCGGGAGGGAAGCACTCTACCCTCCTCTCAGCTTGGGGCGCCTCGCTCTCTCCCCTACGCCTTCTCCCCACGGGGCTGAGCCCCTCTCCCCTAGCTCATCTGCTCTCCTCCCTTCTCCAGGTCCTTATCACCCCCCACCATGTCCTCTCTCTCCCTCCCTGTCTCCCCTCTCTA